ACAATAACGTTTCGATCGATGTATAATGTGTGGGGTTAAACCAAATAATTGATACAGATGATCACCTGCAAATATATTAACTCCGACTGTTGATCACAACGATGGAATCAGAAAATAAAACGAATCATTTGCATTCATAGTTTGACGACGACATCGCATGTTTCTAGCAAAGTTTTCCGTTGGTAGAAAACGTGATAGGTGAAGTCGAATCACTGCTGCAAATGACCATCTGCCAGTAGCATAAATTCAGACTCCGCGCCGAAGGAGTCCGACTTTGCACTCTCGTCAAAATGGAATTGTAATAGGAAATTTACTACTTTGACAACGGCATCGTACTTCACTCACAGAGCTATCCATTGATATATGACATGATGGACTGAGTAACGCAAATGATGCGGCTAGCCACTGTCCAGTCATATTGATTCAGTGCGGTGACTAAGCACCAGGCACTGACACGTCAGCGGTCTGCGCCAGAACGTCCCATTTTGTGGAATTGTATGTATTTGATTGTCATACTGCATAATACATCATTGTGAATTTAAGGACGGTCGAAAACTTCAAGTACTTCGACTCTGTATCGGTAAAAGAAAAGTAGTGCTGCCCTGTTTGAACTTTGAGCGGCTTTTTTTAAAGTGTCGCAAGATTGATCTATCCGCACATCAACAAAGATAACCATGTCAAAGATAAACATGCCATCTTCTCATTCCTGATGTATAATCTGGAAACATGCACCCTTTCAAGTGCTAGGAAAAGAATTGTACACTTTAGCAGTGCTGTCTGAGAAATATTCTCAAAGTGCGATGTTTCCATTATATAACGATTGATAAGATAACCGGTCTGAGAACTTCCCCTGCAGAAGTTAGAAATCGGCGTCTGTCGTGGTTGACAACCATCCGGAGACAGAATTGAGACTTTTCCAATATCCTTCTCCTCTGGGAAGCAGGAGTTGGTCTCAAAAGCATAGGAGGCCAAGATTATACCCTATGGTAGTTGCTAGAGGCGTACTTGGCAAGAAATATGACTTTTGCCGCGGTAACCAACATCTCATAAATCATAGTCAAAAGCCAAAGTGTCAGACACCATTAATCTGAGTACCCGGTCTTTATCCTGATACTTCAAATGGCGCTGACTGCTGCAATCTTCTGTCCTCAGAGTAGGCTGAAGTACACTTAATCATGGACCCTTTAGGGTTTAAATGCAGTAATTTTTAGTACTTCTTGCCGAGATGATTAGTCTTCTTTCTTTGTTGTCGTCAGTAATTAATGTCGCCCCTACTTAAAGGCATGGTGATGAATGTTCAACCTTAAATAACGATGTTCCATTTCTTAGCCATCCGTGAGCTGTTAATGGTACCGCTATTCCGTTTCTGATGACATTCATCAATTATTCGTTGGTTCTTCTGTTCTTCATTCAGTGAATTGTCAAATTCTGTTCAGAAGGTAAACATTATGAAAAACGTTCATTCTCGATTATGATAAGACGTGATTAGAAGGCTGGGATAAATTTATTCCAGGTTTCTAACAGCGTCTTTTCTTAATTTATTAACCTAAAAGCCTGTATATGTCTTTTCGAAATGTTCATTCTGTTTACATCCTGGATTATTGCAGCCGGTTGCCATCAATCATTTCTTTCAGTTTCGTAATTACAATATACTTCTAATCAAAGTTATATTGAAAAATTTTAACAGATCTGACAGCTTTCATACCAGAATCCCGTTTTTAGAAAATCTCACGGGTCATGGTAGGCTTTTCCAACTCATTACGATTCAAGCATATGCATCGCAAGTACAGCTTTGAATCGTCCTGCCCCGTCCTGCTTTTATCGTTGCTTTTCTTTTGGATAAGTCAGATACCTTACAGATTGGCCTCAGAAGCCAAAAAACAGGTATCAACCTAAGTATCAACTACTAATTAGTCGATCGTTCAACTGTCCTTTAACATGATTACTTCTACATAAGAACCAAAGCAAGCGTATGAAGTATAATAAGGCGGGCTCCACAGTTCCAACGTGTGTGATGAGAATTCCATATAATCACCTGGAGAGAACGTTAGAGCGCATCCATCGGTTCCTTGACTCCGTAGATTCGTGAATGGTAGGTCCTGGATAAGGCCATACGGCGCCTATAGGCAGTGACAATGATAAGAGCAACGGTTCAGTCGCAGCGTGAACTAACTGAACAGTTACGACGCATGCGAGTTAAATACAGGTTTGGTAGTCGAATGCTCTGCGCATGCCTGCTGGACATCCTCATCACAGCTGTTCTATAATGAAACAGCCAAAATGAAGAATCGCTTGACAGAAGCAAAATTTCGAAACTTGAATTGTTCTGAGCGGTGCTATCCAAAAATGATTTTCTTGAAGGCAGAAACGGTTCGCTGATGAGGAGTGTTGGCAATTGTGGTTGAAAGAAAACGTGTTATGTCTTTTACGATAGTTTTTTTTCTAACAGCGGGACACTGATCAAGTGAAATAAAATGATTGAGATGCCATCCTTTATATTTTGTGTCATTAAGGACTTGAGGGAATCAAATAAAAAGTTCCTGATATTTTGTTCAAATAGCTGGTCTCACAGGTCACTTATGAATCTTCGGAGTTACAGAGGATTGTCTCCTGGCGACGAGTATCTTGAAGCATCGAAAAATGCGCTAATCTAAACATTCTTCAGATCGAAAGCATCTCACAAGACCGGACGACATGGATTTGAATAGTCTGTACTTCTGTATCCCCTTTGTACATATGATGCTCTGATGGTTGACTGAAGGGATCACGCCGCGGTGTGTGACACCGACTGAGAATTGGACGCAGCGACTTCGTAGCCGATGGTTCGTCAGGACTTGGCTTAGGTCGTAAAGGTTATGGAAAGAAAGTACCTGTTTGTCATTCATTAAAATGATGTTCTCAGCCAGGTATATTTTGGTTCAGTCAGGCGGGAAATGACGGCATCACGTTGTTCAGCGCTCTTTTAGTGACTGGAATGTGTTTTTAATCAGACCGTGACCAACCTACTGTTCAGGGTTGGCGTACTGTGAAATAAGTACAGTTAATGAATGGTAAACAAGTTTTTATTATGCAGTAGTTGTAGATCAAAGCAATTTGAGAAACTTTATGCTCTTATGCTTAAAAATGTAGCAGTTTTATAAAATATTCTTTAAAAAATGTTTCCGTTTTCTTTTCTCCTGCAGCCGTAAAATTACACGATCGTTCTTGTTGTTCTTTGGTTATGAACAGTTATGAAATTTCTAAGACGAATGATTTGTTGGCATGTTATTTTTTTCATTTCTTTAGCATTCCTTATCATTTTTAATGAATTTGGCACAAGTCGAAAATGATTACATGGCAAGTCGACGTTAACATAATGTGCAATACATTTACTGCATTAAATTCAGTGTTAAAGGCTTATTTTGTCCCAGACTTCAGCTCATGCTTATCTTAAATTTCAATTTTATGTTCATCCTTCGAGGTTCGTTTCTGTGCTTTCCGGCTCTTCAAGAAAATCCCAAGATGTCTCCTGATACATGTTTATCCATGAAAATGCTATCCGGATATTCTATCCCAACGATTGGTCTCGGCACCTACAAGGTGGATCCGCGTGATGTAGAAAGAGTGCTCAGCACCGCCTTGGATATTGGATATCGCCACATTGATTGCGCTGAGTTGTACGAGAATCAGACGGAAATCGGGGCAACTCTAGCGAAGCAGTTCAGCAGTGGCAAGGTATATACGCTTTATTTTATAATCTTTTTGATCGCGAATCAGTTGGTACGTAGTTACGAAGAGACGAAGTTTTCATCACCAGTAAAGTTTGGAACAACGCCCACAGCTACTCAAAGGCAAGTGAAGCAATTGATGTAATCCTGCGGGAGCTTCAGCTGCCCTACTTGGACTTGTGCCTTATTCACTGGCCCCAAGGCTATGCAGAACACAACGGATTTTTCCCAATGGTATAATATTGGCTGTTGTTTCATTAGATCAAAGGAGTACAAGAATGTTGATCCATTCATGATTTTTACTAATAAGATAAAGAAGTGTGTGGCTAATCCAATCTACGGTGATACTAGTTAAAGGATTTGCATTTAGCCTTTCGCACTTTTAATATATACTGTATACATTGAAATATTTACTTTCTTTTTCCTTGTATTTACTTTGTTCCATATTGTTGTTCTGTATTTGTTGCGATCTTCACCTTAGACCGTCTGCGTAAGCAAAACTTTTTTAGTATGTGATGTCCATTGTATCTGCAGCTTTTAACACTTTTGCTAAAAGGCCCTGGTTGCTGTATCGCACAAAATAACTATTCCCCGCTGACAGCACATATTCCTCACCTTGTTCCTCCATGTTGCACACTGACTTCTAGGTCGACATGTTTCGTGTTTCGGCTCCCACACGAAGAGATCATGGACTGGAGTAAATGGTTTATTCTCAACCACTTGTCAAACAGAGCCAGCCTTCTTTTCATAATCTCCACATCTGCTAAGGTCACTTGTGTTAAAAAAATAGAGTTATTCCTCACATGGTTCTACCACCATTTAATCCTCATTATCTATCGCAGGCAGCTGCTATACGCAATTCAATTGTCATTCTTGCTCTTTGTTAGAGCAGCTGTCTCCATGCTGCACGGCAACAATGATTTGACAGAGACAAGGTTCAGATGTATTTTCATGGATTTTTAGAAACTCCTTTCTCAGTCCAAGTATTGGGCAAGTTTTCAAAAGCATTCGAAGCTAGGACGATCCTTCTGTTTAACTTTGGCTGGAGAATGCTCGCTGTAGATAGTTGAGCTGAGATACTTAAATTAGTCTATCCTCCCCCCGCCCCGTAGCGCTTCACCTTAATCTTCCACTTGTAGGTCAGCTGCGCACGATGGGTTCCTTATAACTTTTGACTTCCGGTCATTAAGGAAGAGACCGGCTTTCCTAGCTGCTTGCTTACAGTAGCCGTCACGTGATAGAGCCTGCTTCCCATACTACTCACCACGAAAATATTATCCGCTTGCTTCAGGTAAGCATGATATCTATTCGGTGATTTTGAGCTGCGCTAGAATCAGACCTTCAACTTTGCTAGGGCCAGTACTGTTTGGTTCGGAGAAGAAAGTCGAGAACAGTGTTGAATAGCCAAAACCAAAGCGTATCTCCTTGGAGCACTCCACAGTTAATTGGGAACCACTCAGATAGCTCGCCTTTAGCGTTGACATTAGACATAGTACCTGCATACATCTCTTCAAAAATTGAAACGATATACTCAAGTATCGCACTACAGAGTTATTTTTTATCTAAGCTTTTAGGTCACGAATTCTGCCAGAAGACTCGAATCGTTTTTTCCGTAGTTGCATGTGGCACATCTGGCCATGAATGTCAGTGTTGACAAAAATGGGTACATTGTAAGCAATTCTACGCTACATTTATTTACTTAATTTCTACTTTTTGGTCCTATGAGTGACGTGAATGATGTCCTATTCCACATGTCGTCCAGATATTCTTCCTGATGTATGAATCATCATCCTTGATTTAGCGTTGTCACTTAGGTTTCAAGGTTATTTTTCAAGAATTTCTGAAGGAAATAACAAGCATTCAGTTAGTCCACTGATAATGATTAAGTTAACGATACTTTACATAAAACGGTGCCAGAAGTGCTCGGTTATGTGCAGAAGTTCTGTTCCGTACATGGTTTATTCGTTTGCAAGTCATGGCTGTTCGGATTGTGAGACATAAATAAATTTTGATACCACTTTGATAGTCATCTGATCATTCGCCAGCACATATGTTGCTCTGGTGGTCTTAGGTGCTGTTAACAAGTTCCCAAAAGACGACATGCAGTGTATTAAAGTAGGCACCCAAAATGATTGAGCTTTCGTAGTCATTTTGAAGCTAGACGGTTAGGAGATTATGCATTACAAGCTATACAATGAAGCTACGCAGTCAAACTTTTCTCACTTACCCTCGCTCCAGTCTTCAGAGCAGATTTTTACTTAAGTGTGATCCTAGGTAGTTGCAGTAGAAATGAAGTGCTCTTAAAGATTGACTAGTTTAGCGGGCCTGAGAATGCTTCACAACACAGCCATCTGAAATACGATTTCTTTGAACCATTGTAGAATCGTCTTCATCTTCCATCGCCGCATCTCCTTCCGGGTCGCGGAGGCAGACGCGTCAGACAGTGCTTCCAACGTTCCTGATCATGTGCCAGAGTCTGAGCTTC